GCATTGTTTCATGATAAGTTCATATTGGTTGCCCTAAAGTTTTTTTTTTTTTTTTTTTTTTTTACCCACATTCAAGTAATCAAACATTTAGACATAAAAAAACTGATCTCAGCATTTTTTTTTATTCTTTTTCATTTATAACCTTTGAAAATTTTCAAACATTTCTGTTTATATATATATATATATTTTTTTTTTCATAAAGGAACCTTTTTACTTTGATGGTACTCAAAACAGTTGTGTTTGTGTGTGTACACACACACACACACACACACACACACACACACACACACACACAATGTATATAAAACAGACAGTGAAAACAAAAAGATTTTAAAAATAATAGAGCAGGATGGATGTATTAAAATGTAATTATAAATATCCCTTCACACTCCAAAAGTTTCTTAGTAAAGTAATATTTACATTTAATTAATTTAATTATTAAATTATTAAATTATTTGATGATCACTTTTATTGTGGTGAGCATAATACATCATGATTCAATGCAGTAAAATGATGATTTAAATAATAAAAAATATAAATATAATAAAATATAATATTTTTAAATTATATAAAAAATATAAATAATAATATTTAATGCACACACGTTGAACTTTTTTTTTTTATAAATAATTTATAAAATGGTAAGTAAGTTGCTTAAATCAGTTAAATATTCATTTTGAAATTATCTACGCAAAAATACTTTTGCATTGCGACATAATTATGGTCCTAATAATTATATAATAATAATTATGGTCCTAGAAAAACACATATCAAATATGAGATATGTGGCTTTAAGGTTACATTTTGATTTGTGATCAGTTTTTTTTTTTCTTTTTAATGTATGAAACACCAAACTTCACTGCATTCATGGAAAGTGCCATGTAAGAAGAATAAAGACATATATGAGGAACATGAATATGTCACTATTGCTGATCCCAAGAGCTCATGAACACAATGCAGCATGGCTTTTGATGAGTCTCTTACTCTCAGCATTTGAATTGTTGAATCATTTTCAGTGTCGTGATCGAGAATAAACAGTATCTCCATCTGTGTAAACAAAGCACATGTAAAGTAGCAGATGAATATGACAGCTGATTTAACCTTAGTCTGATCAGTAAGAGGGGGTATGTGACGTGTCCCTGGCTTAATCATGAATGCTTAGTGAAAAAGTGGCTGCACTGTGTGAAGGACAGTCAGCTGTGTAAATGGAGCTTATTTGATGCTTGGTTTCACTCACGGAGGAGTATTCAGATTCCCATTTGGACGGGCCTGACTCCTGGCCGACGCAGCCAACCAAGACACCTCGTACCACACACCCCCATTATGAAGAGCCGTTTGCAGTCAGATCACGAACTCACAACAAAGAGGGAATGATGTGAAATAGAAGAGCCAGTTGTACAAAAAGTCATTGATGTGAGCATTAGAATAGAAATTAGAGAACAGAAGGTGGTGTTACACTTGTTTTCCACAATCAGTACATGATAAGAACAAACTTACATGTTCTGCTGTATTTTACAGGCATGTGCTTTAATTGGATTTTATAGTTTCACATCATTACTGGCCACACGTCAGTTTATAAATTCACTAAATGAAGCCCTTGCTTTGTCAAGCCAAACAGAGAATTCAAAATGGCAAATTTAACACAAAGCAACATTCAATAGTCAACATTCGCTGTGTCATGATAGAAGAAGAGTTTTTAGCAATAGATAGCAAGTATTTCTCCATCACTGTCTCTCAGAAATAATGTACATGTGCTGATATGAACAGACTCCTGGGGCTGTTCACACAACAAACCAAACCCAATTCAGATTTATTTTGTGCAGTTTTTCACATGACTTTTTAAATGTGATCTGGACTGGGTCCTTTTTTACAGGTGACTCCTAAACTGATCCACATGTGGAAAACACCTTTCACTGGCATGTTCATCAAAGCATCAACACATTTCATAATAAAAATGAATATATCATATTTTGCTTTAATAGGACATTAGAAGAGTTGTGATTTCTATTAACATCAACATATATTTAAAAATATATATTTTTGCACTTTTCTGTATATTACATTTATATAATGAAATCAATTATTTTATTATTCACAGCAAAGATTAATGAAATAACTTATAAGATAAAAAAAATCTAAATGTTGTGTTAGATTAAAAATGACAAGAATCACAATTTCAATCTGTTCACAACAGAATCACTTTGAAAAAAGAAAATTCTGTTCACATACAAAAAAATAGGCAAAAGAGGAGCTGAAAATGTCTGAATCAATGTGATATATATCTTATATAGTTATATATATATACAAACCCATGTATGTCACATGATGATAATTAGATTTGGGCCATATTCAACTTCAGTGCGAACATTTACATTGTAGTCCAAAATTCTGAGACCATAATGGAAATCTGAGATTTTTTATTTTTTTGTCATTGAAGACTTTGAAACATTTAAAATGGAGAAACATCAGAACAAAAACCCCCAAGAAGGACCATTTATTCTGCACTATTTCTATATAAGTGATAAGTAATCAGAAATTCAGATCTCAGATTATTGAACCCAATGACTATATCAAGCTTACAGTACATACACAATAAAGTAAGACATGGTCCATTGGCACTTTGTTTAGAAAATGGTTTTGTTGTTCTCTTTCATTGTCACTCTCAGCCATTGCGTCAGTTTCTAAGGCATTTTGTACATGCGTATCAAACACAAAGAGTGGTATGTGTGCTTAAATGTGAGACAGAAATGAAAGGCAGAAAATGTCTTGCTGTGGCGTCTCTCTGGAGACAATAGGAGCCCTTGACCATCATTACGACGGAAACAGCACTGACAATGACACTTAGTATTAGCTTGAGTCAAATGTGGTACATTATACCGTACACTGCTGTCTTCCACTGACTCTTTGAAAAAAACATTCAATGGCTTGACTGTAAGTGAAAACAGCACAGCAATCAGAAAATACTGTAGATGGTTTGACCGAATTGAGATGTAGACCAAAGGTGTAATTGCTGCCCAGCGGGGGAGTCCGAAGCCACCGCTGAGATTTCTGTCACCTTGGTTCTACTTTTCGACAAAAGTGTGAACAGCGTGTTACTGCGTCCTGTTTGCCCTAGAACAGGACCAACTGCACTTCCTGCAGGCACGACACACTGACGCACAGCATCATGATGATTGGGTGCAAGCCCCCATTACCCTTCTAGCAGGAGTACGAGGGAGGGAAGGAAAGCTTATGTGTGTGTGTTGGTGTATCTGTGCCTGCTCGCAAAAAAATGAGCACTGTGCACCCATCCGTAGCGTACCTAATGGAAAAGCAAAGAGCATCATTACCTCAGTCGATCTCTGCTGCTGTGCCTCCCCCAATCACCATTCTTTGAAAAATATGGACTGGACATGTCAAAATCCCTTTTCTGAAGGACACGCACCATTTAATGGACAGCTGATGGTGTGAGACATCCTCAGGTGCAAGCTTGATTATCCGCTCTGTGCTTTCAACTGCAAGCATTTTTGTGGCATTATTAACAGCATTATCTACAAACAGCATGCATATACTGCCTAATGTGTCATCTACAAGCTTCTGAATTAAAACTTGCTAATCACACATGATTCCAGTTACCAAAAGGCTGATAAAATTGCTTGTAATAGGACTGTCGAGAGTTTGCATTTTAGCTTGACTAGGTAATGAAATCATGGGACAACAATACAATGCTAAATTTTTTTCAAACCAATGCACCTTCAGAACTTTCCTAACATTAATATCTTAAGAAATTCCCCTTTCTTATGTTGCAGTTTTATGATGCGTCACCATTTGGCCCCTCTTTGTACTTTGTAGTTGCAATAAAAACCGTGAACCCGAGGATTCACAATCCTTACTTTGTCTGTTCCGGGGCTTTGGAAATACCTCCAATGCTTCGCTTGCTGTAAGCGAAAGCACAGATGAGAAGGGTTGATAACAGCATCAAAGTCATTATTCCTCCTGCTGCTCCACTGCTTTTCCCCTCCTCTTTATCCTGCTCACAAAGAAAGGCAGTCTTATAAGCAAGAAAACCCTAAATGCTCCTGGAGTCGATGACTGTTGTTTACACGTAGTCGTGCAGACTATAGACGGCCTTGGCATCTTGATTTCGGGCTCGGGATGGAGAGTGGTACTGCTTGTCATTCTCCAGGTTCAACCTGTCCGGCACCGAGTTCTCTTGCCGACGATCGTCCGCTTGTAGCTTTTCCTGGTGTAGTTTCTCTCGCTGCGACTGCTCTTGTTCCGGCGGTTCAGTCTGGCTCTGCTGTTCGCAGAGCTGCTGTTTTTGTTGGTCGCGGGTCGGCTGCTCCTGGCTCAGCTTCTGCTGCTTTGGCTTGTCAGGGTGGGACGAGCCCGAATCCAATGGACCGCCTCTTCTTCCAGGACACGATAAGCAAAAGATTACGCCTGCAGCTAAAAGGAATCCTGCCGACACAAATGCCACGTACACCGCCGCGCCTGGCTCGTACTTGCTGCTTTTGGGCACTTTGGAGTCCATAAACGTAGTGATGACCTCATTGGTGAACCAGGATGCAGGCACCAGACACAGGACCCCTGCTATGACGAAGCAAGCCCCTGCGGAAATCGCCGTATGTCCCTTAGAGCGATAACTGCCACCCCAGCGAGTACATTTCAGCCCTAGGGCGGCCAGACAGAGTCCCATTGTCGCCATCATGCAGGAAAGCACCATAGTGGTGCGTGCAGTCTGGAGATAAGCCGGCAACGCCAGCACCGAGTACTTAAGCGAGCAGCTGAAGACTCCGGTGCTGTACCAGGTGCAGTCCATCCACAGTCCCTGCATCTGCGAGATGGCAGTCATGATATTGGAGCCCACATCTGCACTCACCTTCCAGTTGGGTAGCAGTGTGGCCACCGTGGCACTCACGACTCCCAGTACCGCCAGAATGAATGCAAACATTTGCATGGTGGAAGACGGCATCATCGGTCCCTGACTTTTCGTTCCCTTCCCCCTGCAGCCGTCCCTCTCAAAAGATTACGCCTGCGGCTAAAAGGAATCCTGCCGACACAAATGCCACGTACACCGCTGCGCCTGGCTCGTACTTGCTGCTTTTAGGCACTTTGGAGTCCATAAACGTAGTGATGACCTCATTGGTGAACCAGGATGCAGGCACCAGACACAGGACCCCTGCTATGACGAAGCAAGCCCCTGCGGAAATCGCCGTATGTCCCTTAGAGCGATAGCTGCCACCCCAGCGAGTACATTTCAGCCCTAGGGCGGCCAGGCAGAGTCCCATTGTCGCCATCATGCAGGAAAGCACCATAGTGGTGCGTGCAGTCTGGAGATAAGCCGGCAACGCCAGCACCGAGTACTTAAGCGAGCAGCTGAAGACTCCGGTGCTGTACCAGGTGCAGTCCATCCACAGTCCCTGCATCTGTGAGATGGCAGTCATGATATTGGAGCCCACATCTGCACTCACCTTCCAGTTGGGTAGCAGTGTGGCCACCGTGGCACTCACGACTCCCAGTACCGCCAGAATGAATGCAAACATTTGCATGGTGGAAGACGGCATCATCGGTCCCTGACTTTTCGTTCCCTTCCCCCTGCAGCCGTCCCTCTCACCTTGCAGTGGCCCTTGGTGCGCTGCGTTTCCCTTTCAGCCCGGTGCAGGACCTGACAGCAGATAATTCCTCCGCACTGGCTCCGCAAGACTGCGATAAAAACGGAATGAGAATTGAACTGAGCGAACAAGCGTGACGGTCTGACAGATGAGGCACGGGGTCTGATGACTGAAAGGGAAAGCCGCAATTTTTTCCCACCCTATCCTCATTTGGGATGTTTATGTTTTAGTGCACCCTGAACCAGTCAGCGTTTTGGGGGGAAGTGACTTTGAAGCGTTGTTGAAAGGCTAATTGTTTTTTAACTTCGCCGCTGCAGAAACACCCTTTGGCATGGATGATGCTGTTACAAGAATGCATAAAAACGGCACATAACCGCTGTAAGGTAGAAATTTAGCCAATTATCTGGGCCTGTTTTGTCTGAGTTCATTGATTTTTTTCCTTATCTGTGCAAACCATTTGACAGCTTGGAAATTAGAAAGGGAATGAAAATTACTCCTATCTTTTGTTGTCCTTCAAACGGTGATGAATCTCATGAATTGATCAAGACAAGTGCATTGTGAGAGTGCATTCTGTTTCATTCATCTCAGAAGAAACAAAAACCTTTATTTACCCTTTCACTGGAGTGCTATGGTGTGTCAAGCAGTTCTGGAGAGATTTCCTCTAGCTGCTGAAGAAAAGAGAAAGAAAAGAGAATTGCTGTAAAAACAAGCAAAAACTACTGTAAAACTGCCTCGTTCTTTTTAAATAACATCTCCTTGGCAACCCAGCACAAGTCTGAAAGCTTTTCAGTGTCCTATAAAAGAACCCCCACTCCTTCCCATTGTGAGTGACTGGATGTGATCAGTAATCACTGTACCGCTGGACTCCTCACTTGAAGGTCATTCAGTCAGAGAACACAGAGTATAGGGAATGTCATGCAAGGTAAAATGCAAGGAGAGAGATGAAGATAATACTTTTTTGCAGCATAAAAACACAATGTGCAACTGGAAATCAATTCTTATTACATGTGGCAGGCAATTATCTATGGCTGCACTATCATAAGGCCAGTAGAAATAGGTTACTGGTGTGATTCATTTTTGATAAGTAGCAAAAGAGGAAATTGCATACAGGGCTGCTACAAAGAAACGTTCTCTGTCACTATTTCTGCTGCTGTCAGAGAAAGCTGCTAAATGGACAAAGGCAGTTCTTCAAGTATAACCTACAATAAACATTTATGTTTAAATCTTGTGTAATGCCATGTTCACACTGGCAGCAATTTTATCGCTGGAGGTCACTGCATTGTTATTTACTAGTAGGTGTTCTTAGCGCTGGATTCTCTAGTGTTGCTGCACAGCTGGCTTTTGAAGATCTGATAACAAATTAGATGTATTGCCTGTAAAAATGCATCAATTTTATACTAACAACTACATCATAATGACATAATGCAGGGAAAGTGTATGCAAACTGCAGCAGTGCATAATAATTCATATCATGAACAAGATGAATAATAATAATAATAATAATAATAATAATTCCTTACATTTATATAGCGCTTTTCTGGGCACTCAAAGCGCTTTACATAGAAGGGGGAATCTCCTCAACCACCACCAGTGTCCAGCATCCACCTGGAATAATTATGAACTCACTCAGAATGCCCAATAATTTGATGTACCTTTTTAAGTATCATTTTGTTTTATGTCACTGTATGTGGACAGAGACAAATCATGTAAATTAATCTTGTCTATACTTCAGTAAAGTATCTCATAGGAAATAAATCATAAAGTAGTCTATATGATTATGCTTTCTACTGTGTGTGTGTGTACCCTCAAAAACAATACAATTAATGTGTTCATGCTACCAATGTCAGTGAACTATTTATTTGTCTCATTCCTCACATCTGAGCACAGTGCATACTGTAGGCTACAAAGGGCACAGCATCAGAGTATTATAATGTTATACACTGAATTTTAAAATGTTTGCGTCATTGTGTCATTCAACAAACAAGCGGTCTTATAGTAAGTGTGACACTGCAGAAATAAATCCTTGAAATTTCTCATACATACATTTTTTTATGTTTTTTTGATGGTTAGTTTAGAAATGTTTAGAGTCTGTAATGTGCGCAGAGTGACTGAGTCTCCTTCGCTGAGTCACAGGACTGAGCATGTGTACTAGCAGCATGTTTAGCCTCTAGCTGTTTGCAGAGCGTGGGAAGAGAAAATGGAAATGTACTTTTCTCAGGGGGATGTTTTTCACTCACCACAACTCACGTGTTGCTGCACATAAATTCTTCTTTTCTTTTTATGGTCATCATATAATCTGTAATTTAGATGCACTTATTAAAGCTTAAACTAAAGATTTAAACTCAATTTTCAAGCTAAAGAATCAGCTGTTGAAAAAGTTGATGGGAAAAAAATATAGATTATTGACTATAAAACATTTTATTATTTAGCAGTTACTAAACACCAAATGAAGGTAAAAATGACTTTGGTGAGTAAATAGAACAAATACTCACCAGTCAGATGGTAGTTTTATTAAGAGTTACAAGATTACATGTTTTAAAAAATGATTGTGATTTTAACAGTAAAAGACTGTAAAAATGCTACAGTAAAAACCTGTTAACTGGTTAACAGTAAGTTTCCATACTATATTCGGTGAATAAATGTAATTACATTTAATGTGATTCTACAGTAAAATACTGTTAAAAATACGGTTTTTGGAAGTGAAAAAGAAAAGTCATTGTATAATTTACAGTGCAAAAACGTAAATTGACACTCCCAGAATTCCCTGCATGACACTTCATATTTGATGTTTTTTTTTGTTTGAAATAACATGTTTCTTTTTAGTTTTTTCTTATCAGTTGTGTACACTAGGGTTTAATCTTACATCTAATGTTGTTAAATTAATGTTTATTGCATTATTTCAGTATCATGTGTGTCACCATGATGGGGTTTAGTGTTTGCATTAATGACACTGTGCACCTTCTATATATAAGTATTGTCCTCCTCAGCTCGCAGACAAGCTGTTTGTGATGAGCTTTAGTTCATCATGTGACTTTCTCATCACCACCCGTTTTTGGGGGTTATCAGTGCATTACAATGGTTCAAAACAGATTTTAGTACTTAAATATGTTGGTTTATTAACATTACATCAGTTAATGAAATACGGTATTTTATTGTGTTTAGATTAAGTCTGTAAAACCTAAAATGTTGCTACCATATTTTTCACGGTGAAGTTCTGGCAACCACAGCTGCCGGTATTTTACCGTAAATGTCACAGATTTTTTTTTTACAGTGTAATCTGAACCTTTCTTATCTGTAGTGTTGTGAAAAAAAATATCTGTCATGACTTGCACAGTCTCAGTGACAAATTTACCATCCAAAGTGTGTCTAGCATGCATAACATTTATTCATTTATTTATTTATTTATTTATTTTTTGTTTTGTTTTTATCCACGTGGTGACATGTCATGAAATATCCCTTGCATAAGCCACCAAAACAAATACTGTTTATGAGGAACTATGTCACAATGTTTACGAATGTTTTTTTTTTTTTTGACCGGTGTACCAATACACAATGGGAAAAAATCCTTATATTAATTTTATATTAGTTTGTAAATCATTTTGTTTCATTTTAATAAAATGATGCAAAATACAATTTCATTTTTAGTTCAAAATATTTATAGTTGATCAATTTTCTCAATGCAGCTTTCTTTCATGGGTGGCAAAGGTTTCATTTTGGACTCTGTATTTACCTATTGATTTTTTCATTGTACTTATTACGTTCAGTTTAAACTCTCACATCAGCAAAACAAGATATTGAGAGCTTTGATTATCCAGGATGTGTTTGTTTGTGTTGTGTGTGTTGTATGTTTTCCTCATAAAATTGCAGTAAATCAAAATATAAAGTAAGTAAAAAAGTATGTAGTAAATAAAAATGGTCTGCATATATAGTCCCTATATATAAAGATTTACATTTAATACAAAGTTGTTTAATTTTCTTGTCTACATTTAGATCACATCTCATACAACCAATAAACCTAAATTAGTTTATTTGAGCTTTTTAAACATCTTAAAATCTGAGGTGAACAGGTTCAGTAATGAAAGAGCATCTCACAATAGCGGTCCACAAAGCAATGGTACAGGGGCAGAGGCTGTATATCTGTCATTAAACAAAGAGGACTGCTTGTTCCAGCCGGTGATGGAAGCACATCTGCACAACCCTGCACCATCACTGCTTCTCCACAGTCACAGACTCATTTACTTCCACTGTCAATGCTGCTGTCACTGTCACCTACTGTCAGATGAGAAGCAGCATTGTTTGTACTGATCTTTAAATGTCTAAATTGTGATGTATACCTACTACATTTCTTGGAGATGGTTACAATTAAGACATCTTACCCAGATACATGCCGTACACTCCGATTAATATATTATATACAGAAAATCTCAACGGCTTAAATGCCTGTATGATCACAAAATGTAAACTGTAGTGCTAAATGCAACTATATGGCATTTTTATTAACATTAACGTCATGATTTTCTGTAAAGCTGCTTGTGCACAAATAAATGTAAAATCATTTAAGTGAATTAAAAAGAATCACTCCAATAACGATTTGTACTGTATTTCTACACTTTCTGAAGAAAACGTGAGTGCTGCTTGCCCATGCAAAAGTGAATTGGCACCACGATGCAAGATATTCATCTGAGTGGGTTTTTAGCACATTGTTATGTGGTCGCTAAAGGTGTTTGAATTTTTTTTAACGTGTTGCCATGTGGTTTCTAAAGTGGTCTGAGTGGTTTTTAACACAACATTGTGCAGACACAAGGTGTTCTTTTTAGCATGCCACTATGCAGTTGCTACTGTATTCAGTGCACAGATGTGTTGTAGCAAAGGTGCTCTGAGCGATTTGTAGCACACAATGGCATGATTGCTACGAGTACAGTATAACGGCTAACAGAACAAGAAAAAAAATTGTTTTTACTGACATGGCCTGACATCATCTCATCTGACCGCAGTTCACTGTTGTTCTACTGAAGCTCCTCATCACCTGTACCTTTTCCGAGCTCGTTTGACTAGCGCCTGGCGCTGAGGCGAAGTTGGAGTGTGCGTAAAATCTCCCATTTAATGTAGTCGTAAAGACGTTCTGCGTTTAAATAAACAATTCTTGTCAAGAAAAAAGAGACAGAAGTAGCAGTGAGTGGGGTGGCCAACCCTAGCCCCACCCCTGCGTTAATTGCGTTAAATATTTTTAACGTGTTAAACTGGAAGAAAAAATAATAATCGCATGCGTTAAAGAAAACCACTCAAATATATCTTCCAGTGAGATGACAGTTCTCTCTGGTGACTTATGCCAGGCTTATTCTGTTCTACAGTTGCCTGCAAACTCACATTTGGATCTGCCAGTTGACAACTAATGACCCCACAGCTTTAATATTTTTGTGTGACCATATAACATGAACTGAATGAAGTAGATTTTCAACATTAAAGCTGCAAACTTACATTTTATTTTATTTAAAATGCACAAAGTGTACATGGATCATTAGCACTTTGAGCATCCCCTGGAAATAGTAGGGCATCCTAGTATCTATGGGACTCATTTCAACATACAGCACTTCAAATCTTTTTAAGAGTAGTGAAGCTTACAAGGACTGGGAGCAAGGCTGCTTGGTACCAACCACAAGGCGTTTTGTGCAATGAAATACTGGCTGCCAAGAGCATCAAACTAACTATTTAAGAAACATTTAGAAACCAAAAACATATTTTGCATATTGCTGGACTATGGTTTTATGGTTATATTTATCAAAGTCTGAATTAAAGAAAATGTTTGTTTACTTTTGTAAAATAAACTATTTAGGGACTTTCTTGTTTCACTGCTTGATGTCCAATGGACAGTTTGATCCAGAAGCAAAACAAGTGAGCCACCTGACTCTAGGTTGTACTCGTTTGTGGTGTCCAAAACCTTTAATGAAACAGGTCTGGAAAATCATTAAGCTTGTCAAAAGGGGGCGGAGCTATTTTAACTTCCTGCTCTTGAAAAAGGCATCAGAGAAGACCAGTAGCTATTCTGAAGGTTTCAAATTTTTTTTTTGACAATGAGGCTGGTGGTTTTTAGTTGTGTTGGATTGTTGTTGCTTATTGCAGTTGACTTGAGTTTGGCACAGTGGTCAAGATTTCAACAAGGCCAGGATCCACTAAGATTCCAACAGCAACAGTCGCCAGTTTTAGCTCCTCAGCAATCTGTTCAAGATCCAAAGGCGTCAACAACTTTTTGGCCTCCAAGACCTGCAATGAGGCCTGCTGGGGTGCAAAACAACAATAGGTTGTACTCGTTTGGGGTGTCCAAAACCTTTAATGAAACAGGTCTGGAAAATCATTAAGCTTGTCAAAAGGGGGCGGAGCTATTTTAACTTCCTGCTCTTGAAAAAGGCATCAGAGAAGACCAGTAGCTATTCTGAAGGTTTCAAATTTTTTTTTTGACAATGAGGCTGGTGGTTTTTAGTTGTGTTGGATTGTTGTTGCTTATTGCAGTTGACGAGTTTTGCACAGTGGTCAAGATTCCAACAGCAACAGTTGCCAGTTTTAGCTCCTCTGCAATCTGTTCAAGATCCACAGGCATCAACAACTTTTCGGCCTCTGAGACCTGTGATGAGGCCTGCTGGGGTGGATGCATGGAAGCTTCAAGAACCTGGAAGTAGTCAGTCCAAACAGCTTATGCAGGCTCCTATGGCACCTTTGACCTGGCATTTTCCAGTAATACCAGAAGAACCCCAACAGCCAGATGTGCCTTTTGAGCAGTGTGAACCTATAGCTCCCCAGTGTGTTGCAGCACAATGTGGAGAGAACTTTGTGCATGTGGAGGTTAAGAAGGACTTCTTTGGTACTGGTCAGCTGGTGAATCCTTCATTTCTCACTTTAGGAGGCTGTGCAGCTGTAGGGGAGAATCCAGAAGCTGAAGTTCTTATATTTGAGTATGAGCTCCAGACATGTGACCACTCTCTGGTGGTGAGTGGCTGCATGTAGGTCAACTGTAGAATTTGTGTAAAATTAGTTCTGTCCAATAATTCACCACTTATACTGCTTTCAGATGACAGATGATGAGCTTGTGTATACATTCAACCTCCTCTATACTCCTGCGGCTTTAGTAGGAACTCCCATTGTAAGGGCTGATGCAGCAGCTGTTGGAATTGAGTGCCACTATTCAAGGTAGTAAACCACTTTGTCTAAGAAGTTTAACCAAAACTGACATTTAATCTTTTACTACTTCCAATAGGTTGTATAATGTAAGCAGCAATATCTTGTTGCCCGCTTGGGTTCCTTTTGCTGCAACTAAAGTTGCAGAGGAAGTTCTGGTGTTCTCCTTGAGGCTCATGACTGGTAATATGTATTTAAGTGTTATAACTTCAATAAGTGACTAGGTAGTGTTGCCAATGTGACTTTCATTACAGATGACTGGATGTTTGAGAGGCCATCCAATCAGTACTTCCTAGGGCAATTCCTGAAGCTTGAAGCTTCTGTGAAGCAGTACAACCATGTTCCTCTGTGCGTCTTTGTGGATGGTTGTGTGGCTACTGCGGCCCCTGATGTGAACACCCCCTCTCCAAGATATCCCTTTATTGAGAACCATGGGTTAGTGAAGAACCGCTCCTCAAACTGTTGCAAACAGCCTAAAAGATGTTTGTTTTTTGTTTTGTTTTTTTGCCCCCCTTCTCTTCAGGTGCCTGGTAGACGCAAAGCTTACAGGCTCCACTTCCAGCTTCATGCATCGTGTTCAGAACGACAAGCTGCAGTTTCAGTTGGAGGCTTTCAGATTCCAGCGAGATGATCGTGGCTTGGTATTGTAATTTGGGCTGTAGTTCTGTGGGTGAGTTCTGTGAGTTGTTTTACTGATCATGTGGTGTTCTGTAGGTGTACATCACCTGTGCTCTGAAGGCTGTCATGGCCTCAACCCCCACATGTCCAGAGAACAAGGCTTGCTCCTTCATAAATGGGTATATTTGTTTTGCCCCATTTTCATTTGTCTAGTATCATGAGGTGTTCAAAATGGGTAACCAGTTTTGTTTGCCTTCTATAGATGGACTTCTGTAGATGACAATGACCAGGTGTGCATGTGCTGTGACACCACGTGTGGTCTCGGCAGAAAGGGACAAGCACTGTCTGATTCAGGTAACCTGAATCAAAGAACAACTTTGGTAACCTGAAAAGTATACTTCAACTTCTCATCTTGTCACTTGTTTTCAGGTCTGGTATCGGAAGGGAAAGCAACCATTGGCCCCGTTGTGATTACTCTCTGATCTATTGTGAACGATGAGAAGTGCCAATAAAAGTGTTCATTGGCAAGGTATTTTTATTTTTTTCCCCTAAATCTGACTAAGGCTATTTGGCCCAACAGTACCTGGGTTTTACAGTAGCTACAAGTTTGATATTAGCACTATGCAATTCATGGAAGCAATTATTAACTTTAAAATCAATGTGCTTAAGTGTCATGGGGGTGTAAGGGAAGCGGGGCTCTACGTACATGCTGTATGAGGTGTGTGTATATATAACCAGGTAGCTCTGACACCCATAATCTTCTCAATGCTATGGGAGCTCCCTCACCATTGATGGGCAAAAAATGAAAAACCATTAAAATTGACCCGCAGCAACAGTCAAAGAGTCTGCCTTCAATAGGTTGTGCAATAAGGTAAATTATTGTGCAAAAATTGTCATGCATGATTATGTGCATTCAGCCCAATTTCAGTGTATGTTTTCGTAGTTCCTGCAACGCATAACTTAGCAAGTACATACACTGGACTAATTTGTTTAAGTGTTTGGGTAGTTTGTTACCCAGCTCCTGGGTCAAATGTAACAACCCAGTGTTTGGGTAGAGGCAGTCACTGTATATTTCGGCTGAAATGCTGGGTGATGGTCCTAGCCGTTAGCAGTTCCCCACCAAACACCAGTCCAGCTCTGCCACGAGAACCAGTGCCGTTACGGTGGAAACCGAATAATGGAGACTGGTTGATTACACGTGAATTACTTCATTTTAATTTTTACTTCTAATGTTTGTTAAACTAGTTTAAATACAGGTGTAGTCTATGTATTAATGATAAACAATGCTGTTGATATAAAAGGAAGTTAGCATGCAAACCAGTGCTTGTGGAGTATTTTACAAAGGTTGAGAGGGTTTAAGCTAATCTGTAAACATTAATTCATGTATGAAGTAAAACATAAGTTAGTATTCTAGTAAAAATGAATCAGCCCATTAGCTGGGTTAAATAAACAATTTGCTGGGTAAAATTAACCCAAAGTGTGTTCTGTGTGTATATATACCCAGCCCTTTGGTTAAAAAATAACCAAAATTGGGTTGTTTTTAACCCAATGTTTTTAGTGTATGTTTTGTTACCTAGGATTGAAATTAGTTGACATTATGGACAATGTCTTTTGATGCCATATGATCTAACAAAGTTCTGCAAAAACGCTATTTGACCAGATCTAATCCGATTAAAAAAAAAAAGACATTCTTATAAGAATATGGCTGCGTCCAAAAACTTAGGCAGCAGACTATTTCTTCTGAGACCACATGGTTTAAAGATCTACTAAACCGAGGGAGCTTTTGTTTTATCTAAGCGAATATAATGTAAAGTGTTCTAAGTGGTTTTTAGTGAACAGATGAGTTGTAGCAAAGGTGCTCTAAGCGGTTTGTAGCACACATTGGTGTGATTGCTAATGTAAAGCGTCGCAGTGTGGTTACTAAGTGGTTTAAGTGGATTTTTGTATGTGGCTGTGCTGTTGATAGGGTGTTTGGATTATCTATAATATTTCACTGTAATGTTACTTTTTTTTTTTTTGCACTTCTGATCAAACAAATGCAGCTTTGGTGAGCCAAATAGACTTTAGGGTTTTCTTAGGTAGTGGTCAACATGGCAAATTAGCATGTTTGTATTTTAACAAACTTGAATCCAATGTGAAATGCTGATTCCTATTGAGATGAATACATTTTGTCATACAAAGGTAAATGTGACTCAACCTTAAACCTCTTATATCCTGGTCCCTAAATGCAAGTCAGGCCCCTCCTTCATTGTTTTTTTGTTTGTTTGTTTTTGTTTTTTGTTTCATCCACCAGACAAAACTGTAAGACTGATACCTTAAAAACAATGTTATTCAATATTACTTAGACACTTTTTACAGTATATTAGTTTATGTAAGCATTTATTTCTTTTTAGAAAGAAAGAAAGAAAGAAAGAAATTCAGTATCTCACTAACCTCTCTCTTGACTGCTAAAGCCAGAATATGCCGACACACTTCCACATGTACAGTCAGCAAGAACAGTCACAAAGTGTGTGACATCCAGGTAGTGGATTAGAGGGGCTCTGGGTGGACGTGTGGCTGAGCACAGCACATTCCACGGGCTCCACGCAGGCGGTCATAGTACCCAGCCTGACATGTTCCCACTCCTTTTACTGCCCCTGTCAAGACCAGACCAGTGCCAAAGCCACACTCTGGACTAACACTTTTTCTCTGATGTCTCCAGTTCTGGATGCAACCTGTGTCATGTCTTTGCTCCTTGAGTCCAGAAGGTCCAAAAACTGTGAATGAGATCCAAACCAGTTGATTCAGAGAATGATGAGGCTGGAAACCCAACGGCAGGCTCTCAGAATGGTTTTGAGAGCGGAAAAGAGGCTCTAGGCAGTGCCGGGTCTGCTCTGATTACTTCAACACTCTGTCAGTTGATTTCAGAGCAGACAGAGCGCAGGAAAAGCCCAGCCTTGGGATCCGTGTACTGCGAGATACAGATCTCTCCACTTCCCACGCTCTTCCATCAGTGCTCATAAAGATCCGTCCCCAGAGTAGTGTTTGCTCCCTTCCTCTGGCTGCTTCTGTTGATAAGGATGTAGTCTCATTCACAGTTTGTGCTGGAGAGGTGGGCCGTCTTTATGGTCCTCCACACAGGTGTTACTGTGGCAACAGGAGCTTGGGCTGCTTTTCCCAACATTTGTTTTCTTTTTGCTTTGCGCTCTCTGAAAATATATTTTATTCATGTTTCTTAAAAGGCATACTTGTATAGGGTTAGAGCTCTGCCACAATTCTGCATGCGAAATATCATATTTTGAGCACACTAAAATCAAATTTTGCATTTAAAATACATTTTTGGATGTGTGCAGACCTTCTCTTTTGCGCATGCAACGTTTCCCTAGCTTGCTCCCTTGATGCCCACCCTCAGTGCTCTCTAGTCTCTACATGCCGACGGCTCGCTTGCTCAACACAACCCAGCGTTACAATATGTCCTTGCATTGCTGATGACAGCGGAAGAGGCAAAATACAGTGCATGCATAATTATTATGCTAAGTTGATATTCTGATTATATTTTTTTCCAAGCACATTTTACCAATTCCAAACAACATCAATCTTAATAATTACTATTAATCTTGTATTTAATCACTTATAACCTATATATTAGCCTATTGTTCATGAAGGCTGGAAGTGAAAAACGCCTTATATTCAGGTGTGCATAATTATTAAGCAGATTATCTTCTACAGATAAAATCTCGAGATGGACTAAAAATGAACTCCCAAAACTTACTGCCAGATTCTGGAAGATAAATTCTTCAAACAGTGGTACAAGAGGATGTGGTGCTGGTCCTTCAAGAGTCACTCTCAACTTATGTCTATAAAGCCTATATATAAAAAATCAGTCTTCAAGTATTTTACTACACTTCAGTATGTGATTCTTATTAAGTTGGGGTCATTTTTTTGGATTCTATACTTAACCTAAGTCTCTGAGAACCTGACACCTTGTACTTCTGGAGACTATAGGTAGGTTGCAGTTCTAGAAAATGGTGGTGCTGGAGACTAAATGGTTCCTGGTGATTTCACACCTAATTCTTTACCTTAATTCCTAATTCTTTTGCAGTTAACATGCATCTTTTCTTCTCCACATGTTTTTGACTGACCCTGCTGACCCACTGAGCATTTTGCTGTCCAATGGTTATTCATTAACTTCGCAATTTCTAGTATTGTATTAGTTTTGAATATTTCTCATGGGCATTAAATAATTTTATTTATATACAAAAAAATATGATCAGAATATCAACTTGCATAATAATTATGCATGCACTGTATTTTTCCTCTTCTGCTGTCGAGGTAATGCAAGGAATGTTGTGACTGGTTGTCAAGGCAGCCAATCAGAATTTAGCAGCCTCGTCTCTGATTGGCTGGAATTATGGCATATTGTAACGCTGGGTTGTGTTGAGCAAGCGAGCCGTTGGCATTTAGAGAGCACTGAGGGCGGGCATCAGGTGAGCAAGCTAGTGAAACGTTGCACGCGCAAAAGAGAAGGTCTGCACAAATCCAAAAACGTATTTTAAATGCAAAATTGATTTCTGTGTGCTCGAAATACTTTCTTCTTTGCGAGACAAACATTTTCTCCACAAAACTCCGTTCGCGTGAGTGCAAAACGCACTTTCTGAATTGTGGCAGAAAGTGATTATTTTAAAGGGGGGTGATTCTTTTCTATACCCACTGCAACTAATGGAAATATGCAAGTATATGGGATTACATCTCTGCCACAATTCCTTTTTGGAAAAAAACAAAAAAACGAAAAGGAGCCGTTTTCTCATTTTTCTACTTTCAATATTAAATAAAAAAACCGAATGATCGAATGATACACGGATTGATTTTCCAACTCAGTGATTCTGTTTTTTTGTTTTTTGTTTTCCTGACATGTTGGTGTTATGTCTTTCACTTGGATGTTATAAGTTGCACTGAGTAAATACAGCTGGATAAAACAAAAACTGTCCGTCTTCATTTCAGGTTGTAAAGCAATAAAATGCGATTTTAAAATGTTAAAATGCGATTCTTTTTTTTATACCCACTGTATATTAGATTTTATGACTTTATGTTAGATGTAATCAGGGTGCCCACAATTTTCTGCTTTTAAATCATCTGTACCGGTTGAGAGATTTCCATTTAAACTTGATTTAAATTCAAATCAAATAAAATTACAAAATTCATTAATTTTCCAGAAATTTTCCAAATTTCCCCTTGTTATTGCTTGACAAACAAATAGTCTTGACCCCAAGCTCACAGCATCTGTTGATCAAAAGTACAGTAGTTTTTTTTAATAAAATTTACTTTTACGTTTATGCATTAGGCTTACAAAAGAGGAACATTAGCAGTTCATCACAGAGCCAACATTATTCATAGTGCATAATGCCAGGTTTATTTAGAAATCTTCAAGTGGTTTACTTATGGCAAGTATTATTAATAATGACTTGGACAAGTCAAATTGATTTGTATAGCGTTTTTGCAATACGCATAATTTTAAAAAGCTTTACAGAAAGTCTTACCTACGGTTATGTCAATAATGCATTAATGCTTTACCATAGAGCAAGATTTAGGACTGGGCAATGACAATATAAAACAGTGATACAAATGATTTCCCAGATTTTAGATTTAGCCTATATGTCTAACGTATATGTCTTTAATACTCCAAGGCCTGGTTTCACAGACAGAGGGTTTAGGTTAAACCAGGATTAGGCCATAGTTCAATTAGGACATTTAAGTATCTTTTATAAACGTGCCTTTGAGAAAAAAAAAAAACATTACTGGTTTGCATCTTGAGACAAAACAACATATTTTAAGAGATGTCAGAGCAAGTTTCTTTCAGTTCAAACAGCCCAGACATGCATTTTAGTCTGGGACTAGGCTTAAGCCTTGTCTCTGAAACCGGGGGTAAGTCTTTCTTAAGGGAAATTATTACACACTATAAGGAAATATATTCTTATAAGGGTATAAGTATACACAAACATATACACACACACACACATATATATACTGGTTTCCATGTTTTATGGGGACATTCCATTCCAATGTTATACTGTACAAACTGTATTTTCTATCCCCTTACACTTCAAAAAATGTCATTCTTTATTATTTATAAGCTTGTTTCCTCGTGGGAACCAAAATAAAACTGGTATTACTATCCTTGTGGGGACATTTGGTCCTCATAACATAGTAAAAAAACACACACACACACACACACACACACACTGACAAGAGAGCTCACCTCCCATTGGTGGCTGCTGTAGAACCAGTGCTCATTTGCATGGTCAAACTCAACTCATTCATGCCATTGAAAATTAGCTATTTGTATTGAAAATGAATGACTTCCAGTTACTGTGTTGCTGCAAACCGCTGTCGGTATGAACAAAGCCATATAACATTGTAAACAGCGGTTGTGTTTCTTGTTTGACGCTCATACACAGTCGACAGAAAAAAAGGTTTTGTGTCATGACAACTAAAACTTTAGCTTACCTAAAACTTTACCACTATTCCTCAGCTGCCTGGCAAGCACTGGTACAGCTTCAGATAATGTAAATCAAGTTCCTTTTTGTAGTACAGAACACCCCCTCCCATCTCTCTTCAGTCTAAGAGACAAAGAAATGTGCTATCAAAGCCCACAAACACAATGAACATCGCCCACAAATATCCTCAACAAAGAAAGCTAGAGAAAAAGGCTCGTAATTACGACTCAGTTGAGCATTTTTTTTTTCCTATTTCAATTTTCTCTCTCTATTACTTTTAAAATAAGGTTGTTTTCGAGAGCCAGTGAGAAAGAGTGACTGAAAGAATAATTTATAAACCTTTCCAAAAAAAAAAAAGCATATTAAATGCAAAGTATGTTTTAACTGCAATTTTGTTGTCACACAGCATTTCTGCTTTCATAATGGACGGAAAAAGTAGTTGTCGCTGAAATCTTGTTTCTGCCCGCATGCTTGAATATTGAATTTGCTTTATGACCTAGGAGATCAATATTTGCAAGATTGTCATGATATCAAGACATTATAGAACACAGTCCTCATTAAATATCAAAACAAAATCATTTTCACAAAGTATGTTTAGTTAAGTCATAACAGTATATTTTTTACAAATAAATTACAATAGCCAAAACTGACAACAGAGCATATCAACATTCATATCTTAACAGTAATAACAGTATTTTCAAGCTTAAACTACAAAAAGAAATCTTAAGTTTTTAACTTAAGGAATGTAAAACATGCCTTTGAATAATAAAAATCACACATTGCATTCAACAGTTCTGTAAGAAACATATACAAGCATAATTTAGACAAAATATTCTATATTCAGACTTCAGGTTGATCAAAACATGCCCAGCTCAGTGAAATCAAGCCATTTCAGTCTTGAGCTGAGAAAAGCCTTTGTCAAACAAGCAAATACAAATGTAAAGCTACAGTATTCACTTACAGTGAAGCAGTCTTTGCTCGTGTATTAATAATACACGTGTCAGCACATATGGAATGCTCTGGATAAGTAAACTGTGCTCTGAATTTAAGGCAGGATCATCTCTGTTCCAAACCCCAGTGAGCTGACTACCCAGATGAAAGTGACTGATTTGGGACACTCCTCTCAGTCGCACATAAGGTTCTCAGTCTTTTTTACTCCAAGGCCCCATTTGTCCACGACAATAGGTTTCCTTTTGTACATCTGCTATAATGACAAAGTTTTGTTTTCAAACCTTTTTTTTTCCCAATTTACAGAAACCGTCAAGTGTCCAGAGATTAAAATAACTACAATAATTATTATTAAAATAAGATTCAGATTGCCAAAAGTTTCACGATTTGAATGTTCTTTAGGGATCTCACTCATTTTAACCAATTCATACACTGAATTTATTGGATTTCTTTATTTAATGACTTTTCCCATCTTTCACGGTTTGCTGATTACGTATTTAAAATTTTTGTTTACTCACAATTTGACCCAATAAAATATTTTAGAGCTTGGCATAACATATAAAAATGTTTTAGGATTGTTTTTATTGTTATTATTAATTTTCCAGGTCTATAAAAATTCTTTATATTTTCTTTATATTTTTTAAATATTTTATTAAATATCCTCATATATCCAAGTTTTTCCAAGACTATAAGAACCCCGGTTAAATTTAACTTTTATTATATACTACCAGTCAAAAGTTTGGAATAATTAAGATTTTTTTCAAATGTTTTCAACATTGATATAAGAAGAAATGTTTCTTGAGCACCAAATCAGCAAATTAGAATGACTTCTAAAGGAAAAAGCTGCTAAAAATTCAGCTTTGCCATCACAGGAATACATAACATTTTAAAATATATTAAAGCAGTTCTTTAAAAAAAATAATCATGTCTTATAATATTAATGTTTTTACTGTATTTTTGATCAAATAAGCAAAAAAATGTTTCAAACTTCTCAGTATTGAATAACTATATTTATAGTCAATTTCTTTTTAACTCTGTCATCTTGGATAATTTCTGATAAGAATACGTGATACTGCCTTAGAACCGGAGCAAAGCAAGGTGCCTTAGAAGGCAGCATAACTACAATATTTGCCTATTATCTTGTAAAATGGCATCCAGGTAGGCAGCTCACTAGATTTTGCGCTACAGATATAAAACTGGCTGTGTAAAAGCTGTTCACATCAAGGCACGATAATCATGTTTTAGTGCATTTAATCTTTATAGCGCCAACTTTCTCTACAGGGTGGGGATGGCAGCTTTTTGGATGCCAATGACCGTGTCGTAAAAACAATCCTCGTTAACTACCGAACCAAAACTCTGCACGCTGTAGTCCCTGGCCAGCAGGGTGTTGAGGTCTAGACCTGGAGTGTCGTCCAGCAGAGTCCCCTGACTGCCCTGAATGCTGCTGGTACTGCTCTCGCTCATTCCCTGTGGCTCCTCCACAAAGTTCAGTCTCTGGAGTTGAGCTTCCAAAGCGCTGGTCAGGGAGCACAACGTGGATCTCTTGCTCTGAGTAGAGCTCTGGCCTCTGGAGGGCCTGAGGGGAGGTTCGGAGTGAGCGTATCCGTCAAGCAGTCTGCCCTCATCTGAGTCTAAGGTTTGTGGCCCATCTGACTGTGGCGGCAACCGCTGCCAGGAGTTTGTTCTAAGCGCTCCTGGGTGGCTTCTCCTGGGGAAGGTGAAGTTAGAATTTAGATCTTTGAATCGTCGCTCAGCTGGAGCCGTCCGCTTGGCGTTCTCTCTCAAAAGAGTGCGGATGGCCCTCACCGCATTAGCCTTGTTCTCCAGATTACTGCACACAAAAACAAGACGAGAGAACATTTATAAATTGCATTTAGAAGCTTACAATAATAAGCCATAACAAGATGTGTAAAACAAAATTGTATCAAATGTGCACTTGTAGTAGGGCTGGGCGATATAGCTAAAAAAATTATCAACGATATAATGTTTCATATCGTTCGGTATCGATAATTATTGACATTTTTTATAACCTTTTTTAAAACAAAAAGCAATAGAATTTCTTTTTTTTTTTTTTTACCACTGTATTTATAATTAACACACTTTATTGAGACAAACAACACATATTTTTTGTTTTAACAATCAAACACAATAAAAATTAAACAAATATCTCATTTGTAATGTTTTATATGCAGATTAAATAGGTCTTTATTGTATAGGTCTAATTGTCTCCCGAGGCCACAGGAGTGCTGTCTGCATCACTCATAGTCCTATGTCACTATATCGTGCACTTTATCGCACAATTTTTCTATCGATATCGATGAAGGTGTACCGTCAATAAATATCGATACCGTTTTATCGCCCAGGCCTAGTTTTAACCCATTCAAGATCTTCTCCGCATTGAGCTTTATTTCTCTAATATTTTGAATGATGTAGCAGCGGCGCGTCTCGTGGGCTAGACTAACAAAACATTAAAATGCAACAATGTCAC